TTCTATAGAGGTACCTATTCATGCATACTTTTCAGGGCCCTAAAACTACAACCCAGCTATAGTTAGCTGTTCCTTAAAGTAGGGGGTGTAAAAAGCGGAAAAGTCTGAGGGGGTCTTACGAGTTTCTCCCGAGGTATCGCAGTACATTGGGATAGGGACTGTGAGTGGACACTTGTCATGGCAGTAGAAATAGACACTTCTGGTATATATCACTGTACACACGCAAGTAAGTATGGACGTATGCATGTGTTCCCACGCTGCATCGAAGTAGCTCCACGGAGACGCCTGAGTTACGAACGACCCTCTCAAGGCTTCCAAGAACCGATGTCATACAGGTATATGTAGCTAGAAACCCAGACACTCCAAAACTCCTTAATTAAGGAATATACCTTCAATTCTACTTGGACCCCTGATATGATTTATGGTATATTCCTTACTTAAGGAGTTTTGGAGTCTCTGGAAAGCACTAAGATGCAAGGATGATTTATGCACGCATGTGTTGTGCGGCCGCTGAATGCGTACGTTTCTACCACATCTAGTGAGAGACATACAGATTCTTGGCGTTCTTCTGGTTGGCTCTTTGGACTTTAACTTTTGGGGTTTCTATATGAACTATAACAAGTAGGCCAAAAGTTTAACTTTTAGGAGGGGTTCGGAAGTCAGCCTAGCATTAAGGTGCTACCACAGGACCATCCCTCAGAAACCTTAAAACACTACCCTTAACATCAATGATCTCGGCCCGAACCCCTGAAATGCTGAATCACCGCATCTGAGCCCTTGCCCCCAAACCTCCGAACCCAAAACACTAAGGCCCACTTACCAAGAAAAAAAAGCGCATGGAAAAAATTGCCCCTTGAACACCAAACACCATTTCGATCCTTCTTAGATCCTTCTTGAGCCCCACTCAAAGCACGCCCAAGGCCATTCAGTCTGTCCACCGGGCTGCCTTCAGCGAAGAGGCCGCGATTGTTGGGTGTAGGGTTTCAGGGCTTTAGGGCTTTAGGGCTTCAGGGCTTTGGGGTTTAGGGTTTTAGGGTTTAGGGTTTAGGTTTTCAGTGAGGGCAGCTGCGGGGTACAGCGGTCGCTGGGTTTTGAAGAGCTTTGTTATGTAGTTTGGAAACTGGGTTTAGGAGGTCTACAGTGGTGTGGTAGGGGTTAGGATTTACGTTACACGGAGCAGGGTTTTCTCTTCGGTTCGGAAATCAGGTTTGGGTTCTGCGATACGGTATCAAAGCTTATTTGGGCTTCGTAGGTTCGCGAAATTTCTGCGCTTTTTGGTAGAGAGCGTAAGCCTGCTATCTGGAGCCCGTCATCTTCTACAGCCACCAGTTGAGCTTTGCTCTAACTTCGCTCTTTCGATGCATTGATCCAGCTTAATATGGGGCGTTCATAATTACCTATACTTTTTGGCGGCTCCTTATTATGATTATACAAAAAAATACCAGTTGGTTTGTGCATGTGTGGGCATGCATCGTGGATTCAGAGTGTAGTAGCTACTGCAGTCGCCGATGTGCGTGGTGCAAGAAGGGTGAAGAGTCGACTTAGGAAGCTTGCCCTCCTAAAACCCAAACCCAGAGTGTCCATGGTATGGTTTGTTGTATTTACGGCGCAGGTTTTCGGGTTTCAGGCTCCAAACTCACAAGCTGGAGTGTTCAGGGTACCAGATTCAATGTTTCTATTGCTTCAAGGACTGAGCCGCAGATGATGGTTCAACAGCCCCTGCCAATTGCAACCTGTAGTCAGGGCCCTGCGCTTCGAATTCCCCAACATTGCCTGCCATACACTACACGCTGCTTGCTGCGAGGCACATTAGTTTGGCGCAGTACAGAAGCCTGTAAATCGGAATTGCCAAATAGCTTGCGACAATTCTGGCACAATTATGAAGCTTATTGACACGAACAGAAACCCTTTGCTGGAAGCTTAAACACCCAAGCCCAAGAGCTAAAGCTTAACAGGATGGTAGTAGCACGTGGTTGAGGAGTAGGTCATGGCAGCAATCTTCCCAGCTGCACCTTGCAACTTTCCGACAGAGGAGCCCGAGAGCATCGTCAGCTTAGTCGCGGCAATCCTTGAGGACACCACAGCACAAGCGCATGGAACATGGAGGATGGTCTAAAACCCTAAACCCTAAAGCCCCTAAACCTCTGGTCTCACCTTGATTCCGCACCATAGAGACAGCATGGTGCAGATTTCTCCTGCCTGGGGTTTTCGAGCAACCTGGAGATTCGGCGCGGCTGCCGGGTGACCTTGCATTCTTCATGTCTCCAGAAAGTATTGATGATCCATAGCGTGGGTTTAGGGTTTAGGGTTTAGGGAAGTTTAGGGTTTGGGGGAGGATTTGCTTGAGCAGTTCTGGACGTGGCTTCGCTGTAGACGACGCAGGGCAGGCCCTTCACTGTATGCACAATACCATCTGCAATCCAGTAAAGAGCGGGCCTCACTACAGTGGCCATGAGTGCTATGAAAACTCGTGCGGTAGAGAGCCTGCAAACCGAATGCCAAAAACCACGAGCAGGGCCGAGAATCTGTATGACCTCCTAGGAGTAATCTTGATTACCGTCATTTGCCTAGTATACCAGCTCACGACTGCACTAAGAAGCTCAAGCCAGTATGCTATATTACCGACCGCTGTGCTATTGAACCGAGTGTTCTGTCACGCGTTCGTGCCCTGCCCAGCCCCGAAACCCTAAACCATACCCTAAACCCTAAACCCGAAACCCTAAACCCTAAGCCCAACCCTCAAGATTGTATTCTAAAACACTAAACTCCAATGATCGCTATTTGACCGGCGGCCGAGCTGGCTCAAAGACCGAAGAGGTGGTACTGGACAAGCAAAAAAAGGCCAAGGGTTGCGAGCAGAGGAGTTGCTCTTGCCAGGTCGGGAGCGCAAATATAGAAGGGTTTAGGGTTTTAAGGTTTAGGGCTTTAGGGTTTAGGGTTTTAGGGTTTAGGGAGGGTTTAGGGTTTAAAGGTTTAGGGTTTAGGGTTTAGGGTTTTAAGGTTTAGGGTTTAGGGTTTAGGGTTTAGGGTTTAGGGTTTTAGGGTTTAGGGAGGGTTTAAGAGAACACTAGTAGCAGCATGCGCTTGCAGTTCCTAATATAGTTGCCCGATACTATACCCCAAGCTCTGTCAAAGTTATTGTGGCCCCACAAATTATCTGGCTTAGGGCAACCCTAAAACCCTACAACCCTGAAACCCTAAAGCCTGAAACCCTAAAGCCCTAAAACCCTAAACCCCGAAACCCTAAACCCTAAAACCCCAAAACCCCAAAACCCTAAAACCCTAAACCCTACGACCCTAAAACCCTGAAACCTTGAAACCCTGAACCCTAAAGCCCTAAAACCCTAAACCCTAAAACCCTAAACCCTAAACCCTAAAACCCTAAACCCTATGTTATCTGGTTGAGGGCTCCAGGGTCAGGGGATAGGAAGCCAGGACCTTCCCAGGGTTCGTTGGACTTCAGTTTTGCGGATAATCTGCGTGGGTTTAGGGTTTTACGGTTTAGGGTTTAGGGGTTTAGGGTTTAGGGTTTTAGGGTTTCGGGTTTTAGGGTTTAGGGTGTGCAGTTTAGGGTGTAGGGTTTTAGGGTTTACGGTTTTAGGGCTTAGGTTTTTTTGCTGTTATTGTAGGGGCCTTAATCTTAGTTCCCCAATACCCAACCTGTAAATGTTTTGGGTTCATACAACTCAGTAGTAATCTGGAAGTTTAACCTTTTATGTCCTTGGCCTGTTGGGGAAGTAAGATAATTACCAATACTATTTGGGGGTTTCCTTATTATAATTATAGGACAATATACCCAAAACCTTATTCTAATTAATAAAGCCCCTATATTAATCTGGTTGGGGTAGGCAGTTCTTGTAATGTAGGGGCCTTAATTATTAGAATAGGGTTTTGGGGTATATTAATAAGAGGGGGTGGTTTAGGGTCTAGGGTTTAGGGTTTGGCAGCTCTTACAACTTTACTGGACCAGTGTCTGTTTCGGCTTAGCACTAATGCTGCCACCTCCGTCTCAGGCAATGCCGTCGAAAAGAAAGACTTCAGCTGATGAGTCGACGATCTCTCTTGTCTTCAGTCTTTTACGGATCGGCGGCCTGACCCTAAACCCTAAACCTGGATGCTTTGGAGCGACTCACCCCGGCGGACTTTGACTGGTCCAGCATCCATCCCAAGGAGGACCTGCCTCCCGTCATGTTCTGGGTGCGACTCGGCTTCTACTGTACCCAGACCCTCAAAAGGATCTGAAAGGGTTTTAGGGTTTAGGGTTTTAGGGTTTAGGGGTTTAGGGTTTAGGGCTTTAGGGTTTAGGGTTTAGGGTTCCAGACCCTCAAAAGGATCTAAAAAATAGATCCCCTAATTAGGGGCCCTAACTACTAAAGGGTACTTTATAGGAACCCCCTTAGGGGATCTATTTTTTAGATCCTTTTGGGGGTCTGGGTAAGCATTGTTTGTTTCGAGAACCTGCTTCAATCAGTAGATCCAGCAAATCCGAATAAATGGCTCAGGACAGAGATGCTGCCGAGGCTTGATCATCAGCACATGCATCCGGAAATGGAAGTCCTTGACTGGCTTCTTCGGATGGGTGCGGATCCCATGCAAATAGTCCCACATTCCTGCGGCGATGCGATGTGTTTGGATGGCACAGACGATGAGATCGACTTGAAAGGCCATTCAGTGGTGACCTTCTTGGCAGCGTATCTGCAGTCGCATATGGATGTGGATGTGGAAAAACACTCAGGAGCTGAGTAGGTAACCTTTAACCTTTTGGGGCTTATATAATCCTACTATAATTCAAAAGGTTAACATTTTTTGGGTTAGGGTACTCAGCCCCTAAGAACAACAACGCTTCTGCAGCTTTGTTGACAAAGTGCTGGAGACCATCGCCATGCATTCCCTCTCCCAAGCGTCCGAGAGTGTCAGTTGACCAAAGTGTGCTTGAGCGTTGGGTTTAGGGTTTAGGGTTTAGGTAAACCCTAAACCGTGTGCTTGAGCGTTGGGAGCGAATGCTACACGCCACTGGAGCCCACGACGTGACTTTCCAAACACGGCAAGGTACTGTCACAGCCCATTCACACATGCTGATAGATGCATCACCCGTCTTGAAAGCAATGCTGGAGTCTTTCACGAAAGGAGGCACTACCCAGTGCATTGAGGTGAAAGATACCACCAAGAACGGTGTAACGCTACTCCTGCAGATGATCTACACATGCTCCAGCCAAGATGAGCCCTCGTACGAGACATTCTTGGAGGCATTAGACCTCGCACACCGCTGGCAAGTTTCAGATGCAATTTCCATCATTGCCCAGGCTTTGTCTGGCATGCTTGAACCCAAGAGCTTCCCCTCCATCGCTGAAGCTGCGGTGCTCAAAGGCCTCGAGGAGTTGAAGACTGCTTGTCGAAGCTTTGCGCGCACATCTTCTGCTGTGCAGGGGGAGCTAGAGAAGGGTAAGCTGCCAGCAGCTGTGCAAGACCTTTTTGGGCAAGCCGCTAGATGCCGCAGCAGTGCAAAAGCGTAGAAAGCGCAAGTTGTACTAGTCCGACGTATTGCCTTCAAGTGTCATAGGGGCCGAAAGGGGCTTTACCGAAGGAGTCCCAACTTAGCTACGTTTCCAGCCCCTTTGGCCATCAGTTCGACATCGCAGAACCCATGATAAAGTTGGGCTTCCTGCGAAGACAGAAAAAGTTCTCGCTGTAGTCCTTGGATGGCTGTGTTCGGGTGCTCAGGCTAAAGGCCTTGGGCCTCCTATGCTGAGTTTAGGGCTTAGGCGGCTCCCAACTTCAAAGACCTTGCCCAGAGACTTAGGTCTTTTCCATCTATAGCCCGTTCAACAGCATCCCGAGTGAAGATTACAAGCCCTATGACCCCAAACCCTTTCTGCGTCATGACCAGCAGGACTCGACTGCTGCACCTACCACCTCACTGGTCGCTGCGGTCGAGGACAAGTGTTCAGCTTCCAAGACCCTGTCAAGCATCCAATAGAGGGGCTGGACCCGGCTGGAATCATGACCAATCTTATTTCTCCAAGTTCCGTAATATGAGTATTCTGGTTGAAGTCATTAAGGCCCTTCTACTACAAATTAGAACCTCCAAAAAGGTTTCTCCGCCAGTGGTATAGAAGCCTAAATGGTTACCTCTATTATTCCTTAGCTTCCTTACTATGATTATACTATAGAGGAGCCCAAAACCTGATTATTAAGGCCCCTACGGTACGCAAAATCCTAAAGCCTGCAAGCCCTAAAGGCTCAAAACCCTCAGTTGTCTTTCATGTACAAGCGTGTAAGACCAAGTTGAAGCTATGCAAAATCGAAATGGCCTCGAATCACAACCTCACAAGTCAAGTCACCCACCATCACCCACCCAAGATAGAAGCCTGGATAATTGCCCGCATTATTCCTTCGAGCTCTTTGTTATACTGCAATATACCTCAAAACCTGGTTCTAAAGACTAAACCGCACCTTTTTTGAAGCATCTTCTGGGCTACTCCGTGATGCGCTGGAGGACGGAGGGTTCTTAACATAAGTGAGTGGTGGGGGTTTAGAGCCTTAAAATAAGGGCCTAAATAATTCCCAATACTATTTTGCGGATTCCTTACTATAGCTATCGTATACTATACCCCGAAGCCTTATTCCAATTAGAAGGCCCCTATATTGGGATTCCTTGTGGGTGCCTTTGCGAAACAGGCCTTGCCAAGCTAGTATGGTTTCATTTTGAGCGGAGGGGTGCATTCTTTGGAAAACTAATGCAGGTCCGCAGCATGTCCTGGTAAGGTCCTACGACCGCTGCATCACATAAGTAATTAGTGAGTCTGCGCCAGTGGTGTGCTCAACAGTCATCTACCATCAGAAGAAGTAATGACAGCAACATGAACGTGATAGCTCTAAAGGTCACGGCTAGTGGGCATATTCACATGTTACACTAACCCCATTCCAGTCTTTGAAACCTCAGTTTCAAATAATTACTAGTGATTGAAATTTAATGTTGTTGGGCCGAAGCTTACGTAAAAATTGCAAGAATGACCTTTAAGCCAGAACATTTTCCAGGGCCGTGTCGTGGGGCACATCCTTTTCAGCACAGCCCGGCTGGAGCCAGAACAGGAAGCACCTGGGTCGCCAAGATCGTTTGGGTTTTTGGGTTTCAGGTTTTAGGGTTTTCGGGATTCGGGCTTTAGGGTTTTACAGGAAGCCCAGCATCAGAGGACTCGAGCAAAGTTTCCGCATGGGTTCAGCGCCTTTCTTGTGGGTAGCGGGATTTCTTCGGAGGCCCTGCTGTTTAGGATTTAGGGTTTAGGGCTGACGGGGACGTGATTACAGCATATACTCATGGCGAAGTGCAGGCAGGATATGCTGCACCGACCCTTCCATCAAGTCTGGCTGTGCGACATGCTGCGATATGGGTTAACGACTTCTATCTGCAAACCGAGCTGCCAGTTGTCCTCTGGAGGCCCGACATGCGACCGACGCGCACTGTTATGCCCCCGCCGATAACTTGGCAAGCTAGCACTCTAGCCTTCCGAGGCTCTTTCACACGCAAATACCCTGGCCGGTGGGTCCCCGTGCCCTGGATATATGATGATGAAGTACACCTTTGTCAACAAGCCGAGGACCCTCACCACTGTAATATTGTGCTTGAATCCCTTAGAGGGACTGCCCTGGCTGGCCAGTGCAAGTCGGTACCCAGGTGGGCCACCCGCAATATGCTTGCTGAGCTCGCTGGTGTTCAGCCGGCTGCCATAACCTTGTTAGGTCATCCGGTTTCTCTCGAGCTCCCGTCCTTACGGGACGGTGATGTGATCCACTACGTTCAGACGTCGGCAACTTCTTCCGCCAGCCCCCGTCCCCGCATAGGCGGTTTGCTAGGGCGGTTGAGCTATGCTGCGGTACACATAATGACTTCCCTTCGTTTCAAACCGCTGCTCCTAGCCAGTGCTCTGCTCTTGCCCCCTGTGCTCGCAGACCCGATTCACACCACTTCCAGCGGACCTTCTCTTTTGGCAGGAAAACGGCCTTGGAGATCACCCCCAGGCTTAGCAGAGCTGCTATTAGAAACACCTTGCGCGGAGAGGACAGGCTCTAGATGGGCAGAACTGCGGCGGCATAAAAGCACCACCCTGGTGTGCTCTGCACCTGATGAGCCAGGGAGGTACTGGGGCCCTGGCGACCAGGGGTGGCCCTCCCCCTGCGGAACAGTGCATAACTATGAGCCGCTTCGCCTCGTTGCCATAGATGGCGCTGCCGACATGTATGGGCCGGTTACCGTCCTCCAGCCATGGCAGCGTGATAGTGCTTCGACAAGGTTCGGTGTGCAGGCAGGTGAAGCTCCACTTCATTGTGAGCCCTGCGATAGGGCGCATGCCAGCCAGTGGGTTACTCAGATAGTTCGCCATGAGGTCCCTCGGACCCGTAGTACTAAACATGAGTTTATGCGATGGGGGCTCCCCGCTGTAATGTGGTTTTCTCATCGAGGAAATTGGCCGACACGGCGTGTTTCTGGCTGGAGTCTCCTACTGCTCGCGTGCTATCTTGCCGCCCGTGGGGCACCTCCTGCTTTTGCGCGTTCAAGCCCCCACACCTGGGAGCTTGACATGCAAGGAGCAGCTGCTCTTACTGCTAAATTACACGAATTCTGGTGGTGTCATCCGCTACGGACCAACCTCCCAGCTCACTCCCCGCCGGCCCTCAACGCAGCTTGGCACGCATTTCCACAGTGGCAAGGAGGAGTCCCCCGTAGCCTTGTAATAGCCACCGACGGCAGCGGCCGACAGCATGGCTCCTGGGCTTTTGCAGCATGGGCATATACTGGGCGTTCCTGGCATCGCCTCGGCTGGGCGGCGGCGCCCGTGCAACACACGCCTTGGATCCCCATGGATGTGCGCGAGCAAACCGGTAACCTTGCATCTTTCTTAGGCGAACTTGCGGCCCTGCAAGCTGCTGCTTTGTGGCTTGCTGCTATCTTGGACCACTGGCGGCTTTATACTGGGGCTTGTCCCAGCGAAGTCACGCTGGCCGTCGATAACGCGTCAGCCCTGCAGGTTGCCGCGGGCTACGGGCAAACACCAGGAATTGTAGCGAGGCTAACGAGGCAAGCATGGCAGAATGTGCAGACCCGGGTCAGTACTCGATTCAGGCACGTACACAGCCACACTGGATTGTTCGCTAACACTGTTGCGGACTACTTAGCTGAAGTTAGTGCTGAACGCAAAGCGCCCGGCTTCGTCGACACGTCCTCCCTGGTGGTCTCACAGTCAGAGTTCACAAACGTATTTCCCTGGCTCTGGCTACTCCCTGCTTGTACCATCAAGGATGGACACCCGGTGTACACATTCCGTACAACGGAACGAGACACGCAACCCGCCACGGCGCGCGCTCCTCCCGAGCCAGCACCTCTGCTGCACTCAGAGCCATCTAAGCCCCGGCATACCGACCTGCACATGCTTACCGCTAATGTCCAGACGATGAAGGATGCCATCTGTAACTGTAGCATCTTTAACCCCTCAGGTCTTGCAGCGCGCCGTCAATACTTGTACCGTCAGATGCTAGAATGCCAGGCGGATGTTGTCTGCATACAGGAGGCACGTAGCAAGGCAGGCCGCTGGAACGGTCCTGGCATTCTGACGTGGCGCTCAGGCGCGGTCAAAGGTCAATACGGTTGCGAAGTCTGGATCCGCGCAGACATTGTCCAGCCACCCTTGACACTGCCGGATTGGCGAATAATCGCTTCCACAGCTCGCATACTTTGCATAACTTGTGTTGCGCCGCAACTACCGCTTACGGTGGTATCGGCGCACGCGCCCCACGCTGACAGGCCCGACTCAGAGGCATAAGCATTCTGGCATGAACTAAGGGAAGTAATACGTAAGTGTCCCTCTCAAAGAGCCATAGTCATCGGACTCGACGCTAATGGGGATATCCACGCCGCCGATGATGACCAAGCTCTCATCGGCGACCTTCTCGCCGAGTCCGAGCCCCGCCGTAATGATGACTGCCTCCTTGAATTCTGCTTAGTTGCCGGCTTTGAGGTGCCAGGCACTTTCTCCCAAATCCAATGCGGTGCGGGATGGAGTTGGCAGCACACAGGGGGCAGAACTAAGCGACTCGATCACTTTCTTTTCAGACCTGGGCCATGGACACACTTCTCCACCTCACAAGCATTTGACTTCGACATCGTCAATGCCACGAGAGACCATGTTGCCCTACGTGCTAGATCAGCCATCACGTGCTGCATGCCACCTCGCAAGCCGTCGCGTGACCAGCGCATTACCCGTCATGGTGCTGAGCAAATCAGTCAGTCTTTCTGGGAATCTTTCGCTTATGACTCAGCTCGTCCCAGACATGCGGAGGACATGATAGATGATGTACACGCAGCCTACCGTGGTGAAGTTAGAGCTTTGCCTAAGCGCCCCCTGCTTCACGTGAAGCAACCATACCTCCATGAGCAGACAGTTGCTTCTCTGCTCCTCCTTCGAGACTGGAGAGCACAGCTCCGGTCGCTTACTAAAACCCTTCGCCAGTCATGGCTCAGTGCAATCTGGGGCGCATGGCGGAAGCGCCCGCACGACCGGCGCCGCTCCCTTTTTATGCAACGGTTGTTCGTAGGCGCATATCGCTTGCAGGAAATTAAGTTGCAGAACCGTGTGCATAGCCTGGCGCGGAAAGACAAGACACGTCACTTCCTCCACCTCACCAAACAGGCGACTGAGGAATGGCATCGTTCCGGTCAGCCAATGCATGCAATAATGCATCTTAAATGGGCGTCCAAGCGGTCAGCCGACCGTAGAGCTGTCTATGCGGCCGGAGGATACGACATCGAGGATGCGCTTGAAGAACAATTCCGTGCCCAGGAGGGTGGGCTTCAGGTCACTGAGGCTCAGCTAAAGGTCAGAATGCAGCGTTGGACCGATGCTGAGGCGACTGGCTGCCCAGCTGCGATGCCATCCTTGAATGACCTCGAACAGCTTTGCCTGCGGCAGAAGGGCGGCAAGGCCCCAGGACCTGATGCTATTCCTAATGAGATCTGGAAGCTCAACCCGCCCAAAGCAGGGCGATGGCTTTGGCACCTCTGCACACAGATTGCACTTAGCGGCCGCGAACCTTCCCACTTCAAGAAGGCTCTCCAATGTGCTTTATACAAAAAGGGGCCAGCCTCATTGCCTAGCAATTATCGTTCAATCGCGCTACTCAATGGGGTTGCTAAGATCTGGCATAGCCACATCAGAAGCACGTTAGGTGCCGCCGTGATCAGCGGCTATGACTCTCTGCAGTTAGGTGGCCGAAAACGCATCCCTGTAGCCTTTGCGGTGACGACTTTCCGCAATGTGTGGGAATTGAGTGTCGCGCAGGGATTTTGCTGCGCTGCCATCTTCGTGGACATCCAGGCAGCCTACTACGAGACGAGCAGGCAACTCCTCTTTCACGGAGATGGCACGCTTGGCGAACCGCCAGAACATCGGAAGCGACACCTAACAGTCCTGTCTCATAAGCTTGCGCGCAACGGTGCGCTTACAGAGATTGGAATCCAACAAGACGAGCTTGACCTGCTGTTGGATTGCGTTGCCTGCTCGCACTGGCAGATGGTCGGGTCGAACAACATATACCTAGCTACCAGGGGCTCCCGACCAGGAGATGGTCTGGCTGATGTTCTGTTTGGGGCCCTTTTGTCAGTTGCACTCCGTCACATACGTCACCAGTGCAAGATTGAGGGCATCACTCATGCCGGAGCGGGGCAGCGCATCGGCCATAACGATGAGGTTGTGCCCGTGGGCTGGGCCGACGATCTTGCCGTACTGGCCGACTTCGAAAGCCCGGCTGCCCTCCAGGCTCAGCTTCCCCGAATGGCCGATATTGTCATCAGTACCCTCGAGCACATCCGCTTCCGCGTCAACTTAGGGGTTGGCAAAACTGAGGTAATGGTTGATATCCGAGGCACGCGTGCGAAGCAGGCCAGACCCGGCCTCCTGACTGGGAACTCCGCTCTCCCCCTTCCCGATGGTCGCGAGCTTCGCATCTCCCCTGAGTACAGATACCTGGGCGTTATCCAACAGCCTCGCGACAACGGTCGACGCGACCAAGAGTTATGTCGCCAACGCGCTCAATCAGCATGGGCGCAGGCCAGGAGTCTGTACGCCTCCACTTCAGTGCCCTGGGAGCTCAAGCAGGCATGGTTAGCAGCTCGCATTCTCCCGGCCGCATATGCCACTCTTGCGACTAATACTGCCTTTTCGCGCAGAGCCACTGCACCGCTCGAAGGATTCTTTGAGCGAGCTACCAGAGTGCTGGCCCAGTCCTGGCAATACGGGCATGTCCTTACCAAGCCGAGCCTATATCTCCTGGCTGCACTCCCTTCGCCGGAGCACGCCTCGGTTGTTGCAAAGGTGCGGCTGGTTACTCTGTTGTGCAAACAGGCTCCCACTGTTGTATGGGAGATACATGAAGCATGTTGGAACCGTGCCACCCCTTGGAGCGAATACCTAGTTGACTCCTGCCGAAGGGTGCTGCCGGCGATCCCCCAGCTCGCCGCTGAGCGACATGTTACATTGCCCCTTCTCCAACGCCATGCACAGGCTTTTGTGAAGGCATGCAAACATCTGAGTCGCTTTGGCTCTCCTTACGCAGCCTACTGGGATTTATGGTCCGACATCTTGAATCGCCGGCCCACCAAAATTCTAGGTGCACCCGGCAACTTCAGCTGCCCGCTCTGCCAAAGCCTCTTCCCGAGCCACCAGGCTGTGGCAGCGCATATCCACCGCAGACACACGGTCCTGAACTGTCTCACGCTGCATACGGCAGGGACTACATGCCTGTGGTGCCATACAGAGCACTTCTCGTCTGACAGGCTCAAATACCACCTGAAGACCAGTCCTGCATGTGTACACGGACTTCGAGTTGTTGTGGGCGAGGCATACCAGTACGGCTCGGGTTCTAAGCGCACTGGGGCCAGAGGACACCGTGGCCTTCCTCCGCTCCGCCTACCGGGACCCCTCAATGCCACTGGGGTGCAAAGAACTGCCGCCACGGAACAGCGGCAGCCTACTGACGACGAACTTAGACAAGAACTCTTTGCTGCGACTGGCTCATCAAATGTCTATGATTGGCCTCGGCATGTACAAGTCGGGGGTACCAATGGTGTATCCCCTGCCCCTGCCCCTATGGATCGGGATGATCATGGTACCCGCTCACAGGTTGCAGCCGAGTCGCCTGCCAACGCAGGGGTGTGGCGATGTCTTGCTGACGCAGAGGACCCTGCCGCACACTCCCTGCCCTCTCCCTACTGGGCCGGGTTGCTATCGCAGTGTGTACTCTGGGGGCTACCTACCTCCTGGCACCGCTATTGGCCCTTGTGGTCAGCTGCAGCCAACATAGCCGACCCATGGAGCCACCAGGCCCGCAGAGCACAGGCACTTATTCGTGCAAGCGTCCACGGGCCAAAGGCTGGGCTTGCCCGTCGTAAGGCCCTGATCGCCAACACAGTCGCGTTTAGACAAGTATGCCATTGTGTCTCACAGGGCGGCCTTGTATGGATACAAGGATATCCCAGTGAGCAAGGCTTACTGCTGTTCCGAAAACTTTTGCCTGCCGCTTCCTTCTTTCATCTTCCTTCTTGTACAGGAGGTGTTTTCGTCGCCTCGCACCCCGAGTGCTCCCCACGGATTTGGCGACATAAGCTCGCCTCATCCCCCTCAGTGGACAGGGCTGTTGAAGCAAGACCTGGTGCTCTGCTCCAGCCAACTGTTGTGTACCACTCGAGGTCGCCGGTCTCGAGCCTTAGCTCATGATCGCCCTCTCGTCCCTGTTTTGCCTGTCGCATTGTGCGATTTTTGGGCTGCATGAGGTTTCTGTTCCGCGCTGGACTTTGGACCACTGTGCGCTGAGTGAGTGAGTGAGTGAGTTTAGGGCTGATCCAGAGTCGTGGAGCAAGCACGTGCCTCCTCTGCCATTCCGGGTATTACACGCAGCACCTGTAACTTAGCTTTCAGATCGCGAAGAAACCACAAAAGCCTGCAAAAGGACCAAGCTACGAGCAACTTGAGCGAAAAACCACTTCCCTAAACGCGCGCCTCCCCATGTCTGCTCACTATCACTACCCCGTTACTATTTCGACCTACACCCTAAAACCCTAAACCCAGAAACCCTAAAACCCTAAAACCTTAAACCCCCAAACCCTAGGCCCTAAGCCCGAAAACCCGAAACCAAAAGCCCTAAAACCCTAAACCCCTAAACCCTAAACCCTAAACCCCGAACCCCGAAGCTCAAGACCTGCATATCTCAGGTCAAGGCAGCCATTCTGGCGCCCCTCGCCGTTCTCCCCGAAGTTCAATCCAGAGGCGTCGTGAGCAGCGTTTAAGCTTCAGGCTCTAGGGGCTTTAATATAAAGGCCTAAATGATTACCAATACTAGTTGGGGGGGCGTCCTTATTATAGTTACAGTATGATATATTTTTCAAGTTTATTTTAGTTCTTACGGTCCCAACATCTGCGCTTTAGGGCCTAAGTTTCAGAGGATTTCCGGTGCGGGGGGGTCGAGGGTTGTCGCTTGGAGGGTCGGGGGACGTCGTAAGTCGGTACCGAGTAGACTTACATAAAAAAGATCCTTACTGGGGTTCTGATATTCTAAAATGTCCCGATGTGTTTGGACTTGACGGTTTCTTGGGGTCTAAGTGGGCTTCAGGGCTCAATAGTCCAAACTTTGCGGTTCTGTGTTTGCGGTTTGGGGATGTAGGGTTAAACAGACAGAGAAGTTGCAGCAGCGCCAATGCAACGAAGCAAATAAGCAAGACTGTATATAGCAGAGAACAAGTGCTTCTCCCTTACTACATGTATATCAAAAATGGTGACCATGCAGGGATGCGAGGAACCGGGGAACTGCATTGACCGAGAATGTCTCGGGCATTCGGTATGGGTTCGCCACTTAGCTTGGGTTCTTGTCTTTTCCAACTGAGTTTGGATGCTTCTTCAAGATAGATTTCCTTCGTAGGTCCGTATTGCATGATAACCTACTCTGTGGGTACCCTGATGTCGAGAGTGTCCGCTTGTGGTCACATACAAGATGCCCAGCAACTCGAGCCCAAGCCCCAAAAAGCTTGCATCCATCTTCCAAGCCGCTCAATCGTCACGGCAAATTTACTACTCATTACTACGACGACTCACGCTGCTTCAACATCTCAAACCCCAAAACCCCAAACCAAATACCACCCTCAAGCCTGAACTCCTACTATCCTGGCACGTGAAGACCCCAGATTCAGGTTGTGAGTACCTTAATAGGGGTCATAAGGACTCATAAGCATAGCTCCCCTATTTAAACAGCCCTAGTTAACCCTAGCCACTAAGTCCCATGATCCTCCACATACCGTTACAGGAACCCCATTAAAACCCTAAAAACCCTAAACCCTAAAAGCCTTAAGACCCTAAAAACCTAAAACCCTAAAACCCTAAAACCCTAACCCCTAAAACCTAAAACCCTAAAACCCTAACCCCAAAAACCCTAAACCCTAAAAATCCTCAAAACCTCAGATTCAGGCATCGGTGGCCAACTCATCCGTGCGGGGCTGCAGGCCCTTGAGGCCCAGGGGGCCAGTTTGGTCTTCGTGCTTGGGCTCCTTGGAATGCGACAAGGCGCTAATGTAGGGGCCTTAATAAGTAGAATGGGGTTTGGGGGTATATTATTCTATGGTTAAAATAAGGAACCCCCAAAACCCTGGTCTAATTATTAAGGCCCCTGCATTAGTTCGCAGTGACATTGCGTAGTCTTAGAAGTTGATAGTGGTAGTAGTAGCAGTAGCAGTAGTAGTAGTCGTCGTAGTAGGAGTAGGAGGAGGAGGAGGAGGAGGAGCAGGAGAAGAAGCAGGAGGAGGGGAAGGTAGGAGTACAGGTACGAAGGTACGAGTAGGGGGGGGAATAGGAGTAGGAGTAGGAGCTGGTGTCGGAGTAGAAGGAGAAAGCGAAGCAGCCATCGTCGTCGTGGTGGTGTGGACTGGTGGCGGAGTTTAGGGGATTTGGGGGGTACTAGTCTCAACCCCAAAGATTCAAAGGATCCTGCTTCAAGACCTAAACCCCTAAACCCCTGAACCCCTAACCCCTAAACCCTAAACCCCTAACCCCTAAACCCCTAAACCCTTAAGCCCTGAACATGGTTTGAAGGATCCCCTCCGGCTGCACGTGCTTCTTCGGACGAGGATGTTTCAGGTTGGCGTGGGCTTATCCATCTTTCCGGTGCCTTTTAAGGCTGGTGTAGTTTAGGGTTTGGGGTTTAGGGGTTTAGGGTTTAGGGTTTAGGGTTTAGAGTTAGGGTAGCCCTAAACCCGAAAACCGGGGGCTGGTGCTGCAATTTTCGCGGTTGAAGACTCTGGATTTGGTTTAGGGTTTAGGGTTTAGGGTTTAGGGTTTTTCTGGATTTGAGGATGGCTTCTGATCCCTACACGCTGCATGGCATCCCACAACCCTCAACCCCAAAGCCACAAACCCAAATCCCGAAACCCTCGACCCTCAAACCCCAAACCCAAATCCCTAAACTCAAACGGCATCCCACCCCACCATCCAAAGCCCTAAATCCAAATCCCATAGACTCTTCAAGCCCTAAACCCTAAACCCAAATCATCCCACCTAATGTAGGGGCCTTAATGAGTAGAATAGGGTTTTGGGGCCCATCATACAATAATTGAGATAAGGAACCCCCAGAACAGTATTGGTAACTATTTAGGCCCCTACATTACCCAGATTCCTGAAGATCCCCAAACCCCCGAGGCATCCGACCTTCAATCCAAAGCTCCCAAACCCAAACTCCCTTAAACTCTTAAAACCCTAAACCCGAATTCGTAACTATTTAGGCCCCAAAACTACCCTAAACCCTAGAGATCCCTCTAAGCCCTAGAGATCCCTAAGCCCTAGAGATCCCTAAGGTCTAGAGATCCCTAAGCCCTAGAGATCCCTAAGGTCTAGAGATCCCTAAACCCCCAAGGCATCCGACCTACTATCCAAAGCACGGCTTCAAGCCCGCGGGAGCGCTCGGCTTCGAAGCGACATACCCCATCGAGGACTTGGGATTTGAGGGTTTCGGATGTACAAGGGGTCTATACGGGTTTCGGATTTAGGGCTTAGGGTTTCTATGTGTGTGTGTGTGTATATATATATATATGTAGATATTATGTTTATGTAATCATTTATTTCGTATATTCATTCCGGCAAGGCGAGGATTGCGGGAATATGGGATATGGGGTAGTTCTCGGTACCTTTTGGGGTTTCCGTACCCTTGTGGGGACCCTAAAGCAGGGATCCTAATTTAGAGAACTACCCATATGCACGTTATGTACCGTAATACCCTTGCCCATACCCTCAAAGGACTCATATGTTAAGGCCCAAAGACCCAATTACATAAGGCCTTTGGGCTGTTTTGAGGCCACCGGCATGTAGCGCTCCGCGAGCCTAAGGTTAAACCCATGGGCCTCTAGTATGGGCCCTTTACCCTGGGACCCTTATATACCTACTATATACCGCATATGTACCCTCAAGGGACCCTAGAAAGGCCTAAGGGTCCATATTCGGGGCCCATACTTCAAGCCTTGGATAAGGGTTATAGAGCCCCAAAAGAACCCTCATGGAACCCTGAGACAACCCGAAACTATGGAATCTTTGTAGAACCCTCGTGATAAAACCCTGGGTCCTCCTGAATACCGCAATAGAGCCGCGATAGAGCCCTACATATATATATATATATATATGTGTGTATATAAATATATGTATATATGTATGTACATGTACATATTCATATATATATATATATATATATATACATAGATATGGATAAACACATCCTAAAGCATCGCTTCTAACGTTCATTCGAAATTGGCCTGGGTGCCATCTCGAGTCCACTTAGTGTTTCGTAGCTCACGGCTGCCACGTTGGAAGTTTTGGTTTCGGGCTTGCAGCTTAGGGTTTAGGGATTAGGGATTAGGAGTTTAGGGGTTTAGGGGTTTAGAGTTTAGGATTTGGGGGTTTTGGGTTCAGGGTTTACGGCTTTAGGGTTTAGGGTTTCGGGTTCGAATTGCCCCTTTCAACAGAACTGACTCATTAAAGTATGCTTCTCCACACAGTCACGAAGATGGACAGAGGCAGGTACGTGGGTGGGTAGGCACATCAAGAGAGGGCTAGCAGGCTATTGACACAGACATGCAGACGCATGCAGTTAGAGGCAATTTTCAAAGTCTGTGTGCTGTGCACACCGGAAGCTATCAAACTGTGTAAGCTGGGATCACGACCGGATGCAACGAAACTTTGTGAATAGGTACACGAAAGGGTGGAGAGACTCCACAATCCTTTGATCCAGGACGCTAACTTCGAAACTACAGAAGTCTCTCACTTGGGTGTTTTGGGACTTGACTGGTTGAACTAAGTTATCATACAGACGAAACCCGGGAAGTTGAGATAGATCCTTAATATGGTACCTTAAGGTAAGTTCCTTGAGAAGAACCCCTCGGAAAGACATCGAAGTTTCTGGCAGCTCCACCTTACAGGAGAAAAACGCAGATGCCTGGATGGTCCAGGCCCATCTCACCAGAGCGAGTGCATAGTCGGCAGGGAATACAGGAGTCGGAATAACTACTAGTAGTATTCCCTTACAGCCTTTACTAAGTCTATATCTATTACAATATACCCCAAAAGCATGATTCTAATCATTGAGGCCGCTACTCATCATCGAGGCCGCTCTGTTACACCTTCCCGTTCACACCGAAATAGTTAGTTGGAACATGGACTGAGGATGATACAGGGCTGGGATCCAGTGGACCTTGAGGTCTAGAGCCAACCCCGGAAAAAAAAAAAAAAAAAACGCTGCAGTTCGTAAAGCCCCAGGGTGCTGCACACGGACGGGATTCTCTAACCCTACATCATATTTTTTGCGTGCCTACCATCAGGAGTTGAAGTTTCTTTGTTTAGGGAGCTTGTATGAAACCTTGTAAAACCGTGCAAAGCCGGTGAGTGAAGAGATGTGGGCTCTTTGGGTCTTCGATTCCGTTGCCAGGCCCTCTCTGGAGCCAGTCCGAGCGCCCGTGGCCGAGTGTGGCTCGACTGTATGATCGGATTCATGATGCTTTGTTGCAGAGGTCCCTCATCGAGGCGTGTGTCTTTGTGAGTGGAGGGGCAGGGAAAGGTGGCGGGGCATTGGTGATCCGCACGAACTTGCTAAACTCCAGAAACGATTTCGACGAAGGCAGAACCCTAGACCCGACATCCCAGGCAGTGCTGCGCGGCGCTGGACAAGGAAGAGTTCTGGGTCGAGCCAGAAGCGAAGACCTGACCCTTGCTGTCGACATGTTTTCTCTAAGTGGCGTGCCTTTCGAGTTTTGTACAGATTTCTCCAAGCCAGCAAGAATAAAGAAGGCTGGCATGCACGTTGTGTTGAGAAGAAGTCGGCAGTACATTTTCGCCAAGTTTAATCCTGTCGTTTGGCTAGCAAGCTTGAGGCACACTTGAAAAATGGAGCAAAGGCCGCGAAGATCATCCGAGAAAGCCACATCTCATCAATCAGTTCAGGGGTCCCGGTTAAATGCCTTTACAAATCAACCCTTATAAACTCTAAACCCTAAACCTCAAATAAGTATAAGCCCTGAACCCTGAACCCTAAACCTCAAATAAGTATAAGCCCTAAACCGTAAACCCTGATAAACCCGCGGGGGCATGAATACCCTAGAGCCCTCCACCCTAAACCCTAAACCCTAAACCGAGTTTAGGGTTTAGGGTTTAGGGTTTTCTTGTCCATCCCTGTGTCCGCAAGCAAACACTCTGAATCTGTATGCGCAGACCCCAAATCTAAGGTTAGAGGTATGGGCCCCTAGTATGGACCCTTAGGCCTTTCTAGGGACCCTTCAGGGTACATATAGGGTATATATAGTAGGTATATAAGGATCCCACCCTTAAGGGCCCATACTAGGGGCCCATGGTTTCAACCTTCGACAGTGGGCCAAAAGATACCCTGACACCCAAGGGAATACTGAGGAGCCTTGCTTGGGAGTTAGAGATCGAGGGTCTAAGCTTTCGGGTTTAGGGTTTAAGGGTTTGCAGCAAGTTTTACATGTTTGGGCTTCAGGGTACGTAGGATTTGAGGAATCAGGGGTTTAAGGCGTGGTTGCTTACGGATTGTCGGGTGTTGCTTTGGGAGGAGTGCAAAAGTTAGGGTTTGTATAGCGAGGCTTCAAAGGCACTGCTTTAGCGGGGCTTCAAAGGAGGTATGTTTGACAAAAGTAGGAGTGGAGACGATAGGGCCCCTAACCTGAACCGAATCCCAAGACATGTCCCTCTAAGACCCTGCAGAACCCTTCCCAAAACCCCCGCTAATCCCCTGCCTAAGCCTTGTAAAGCTACGACCGACCGACTGAAGCCAAAAAGCCCTAAGACCCTATAAGACTCTTGACATCCCTACTGGAGGGGCCTCAATACTTACCAATACTATTTTTGGGGGGGTCCTTATTATTATTATTACTACTACTATTTTTTGTCTTATTTTAATGATAGTATACTGGGCCCCGAAACCCTATTGAAATTACTAAGGCCCCTATAGTTCTCTACTTAGGGTTTTAGTGCGGGGTTTAGGGTGTTGGGCTTAGGGTCGTATCGGGCTTGAGGACCCGAACTGAACCCGAAACGTAATGTAGGTGCCTTAATAATTAGAATCTGGTTTTTTTGGGCCCATTATAATAAGGAGCCCCAACATAGTATAGGTTATTATTTAGTATTTAGACCCCTATATGACCAACAAAATCCCAGGAGGTGGCCAGCAAGGATGCACCCGACGCGTCGCAAGAGCTGACCAAGGAGCCTCAGGCAAGGGTTTAGGGTTTAGGGTTTAGGGTTTAGGGTTGTAATGCCACTTTTTTTATGGGGTCTTGTAGCAGTCTATACGGTTTTGCAGGTTTTGCCGATAAAGTTGAAGTGGGTTCAAGGGGTGTCGAAGCTTTCAGGAGTAGTAGACTTTAAGGGTTGTCGAACATGGGTTTGTGTTATGCGCATTAGATTTAGGGGTTCAGGGATCAGGGCTTGGGGGCTTCTGGGGCGCGGTTTAGGGCTTTAGGGATGTTAAGAAGTACCTATGCTATTTTGGAGCGGTTCCTTATTATAGTTATTATAGTTTTAGTATCATATACCTTCAAAACCCTATTCCAGATATTGAGGCCCCTACGTTAGGTGTTGAGGTTCAGGCTTCAGTTCTCGGGATGTTTGGTTCAGGCTTGCGGGGAGCCACGGAGTGCGCCTACTGTGCAGCAAACAACAGTATGGAGATCGGAAGAACTAGTAATACAATGCCCTCACAGTCCCTGTACGGCTATATGAGTATCTGTATCCCAAAACCTTATTCTAGCCAATTATTCGGGCTCCTATATTATGAAAGCTGTTCGTTGGTCGGTTCGTGTGTCTCTTTGTCCGTTGGTCTACGTGCGTGTCTTGATGACTGTCTATGATGAACGGCAGCAGAGATACGCCTGGGTAGTTCTCTAAATTAATTACGGTCCCTTGTTAGGTCCCCCATATGCTACGGCACCCTTCTCAAAAGGACCCACCCCCATTAGAGAACTATAATGGGGGGCCCTATAATAAATAGTATACTGTACTATAGCAGAACATAGCATGTTGTAACATGATGAGAATGTAATATGTATATATACATATATGTATAGATTATAGTAAAACCTATCATAATGTGATAGGATAGAACAAAACGGAAAAGGATATACTGGAATAGAACATGATACATTACATATGCTGATACATAACATAGTATAACATCATATGCCATAATATGACATAGAATAGGATAGTACAGTACAGTATGGTCCAGTCTCGTCTAGTCTAGTATACTACAGTATAGTCTAGGAAAGCAGAATTAACTCAATATAGTGCATCAGTATGTTGTAGAAAACTAAAAATTGTAACCCTAAACCCTAAACCCTAAACCCTAAACCCTAAACCCTAAACCAAAAACCCTAACTACCAGAAGAGGCAGAGGCCGGCAGCAAGCCTCCTGAGACCACGAAGAAGGCCAGCGGGCCACATTAGGGTTTAGGGTTTAGGGTTTAGGGTTTAGGGAGGTGTGCTTTATGTAGGTCCTAGGTGTCTTTGCTTAAGGACGACATGAACCCTTAAAGGGTTTCAGGTTCATATACCTCAAAGGGATTCAAAATATAAGGGTAAAGGGCCCCTACTTATCAGGGTCATTTGGTCCCCAAGGTTTATGTAGGTCCTGGGATTTCGGATTTAGAAGAGTTTCTTTCTTGCGTTTAAACCCTACACCGTATAAGCCCTAACCCTAAATTCCTAAGCCCTAAACTCCTAAACCCTAAGCTTGGAGTTTTGGCTTTGGGGTTGGGAGCTGTAAATCAGAATAGGTTCAACGCCACATCCCCAAGCCTTGATGTTCAAATCGTGCAGTTTCTTTCGCTTAAACCCCACACCGAGCGTTGCTCTATCCCAAAACCCTAAACTAAGTTCGAGGCCTTCATAGTTAGAATTGGGTATTCGAGCCCACCTATACTATAGTTATAACATTCTTTCTGCCCTGCTGCTTCTGGGCTTTAGGTTTAGGCTTAACGGGTTTTGGGCTTAGGGTTTAAGGATACGGACAGTTATCTGGTGTTTGAGGATTCATGGTTGGTTCCAAGTTTTGCAAGTATCCGACCTTTGCCATAGTTCAAGCAGTTCTGTATTCCACTGGCCTTGCTTACAACTCTGCTTGCATTCAATACTCATACTATAGACTTAGAAAGCTTCCCCTCACTCCTCCCCACAAACACCAGATAAGGGCCTTCAGCGCACTGCTGCGAACCGTAAACGCTGAACCAAAAGCCCTAAACCATAAGCCCTAAGCCCTACCGGCTTCCACCCTATCCGACTTGAGAAGTCTCTTGGCAGAGGTGTGCATCAAGCCCTCCGAGACTGAGATGAAGGCCCGACAATTATGAGGGTTTAGGGTTTAGGGATTTAGGGTTTAGGGTTCAGGGTTAGCTGTTTCCAGAGACTCCCAAACTCCTTAATTAAGGAATATACTTTAGATCATATTAGGGTTCCTATCATACTTTAAGGGTATATTCCTTAATTAAGGGGTTTTGGAGTCTCTGGGTTCCCAGAGACTCCCAAACCATCTAATACAAGAAGTGTGGTTTAGGAGTGGGGTCTTTGGATTTAGGGTTAAGGGATGTGCAGGCTACCCGTTCCGCTGCGTGAAGTCTTACTTACTTGTTGTGCTTTTCAGGGTTTCGAGTAGAAAGGACACTGTAAGTCGCCCGTCATCAAACAGACACTCAAGTCTTTGCAGTGGTAGAGGATTTGGATCTTTAAACTTGGACTTGCTTTTGCGTTATTTTGCTCGGCCGCTGAAGCTCTAAGCCCTAGGCCCAAGCCCTGAACCGTAGACCCGGATTAAACCCTAAACCCTTAACCCTTAAACCCTAAGCCCGAAACCCTAAACCCTGACTAAGCCTTAAACCCTTAGCCCTAAACCTTAAACCTCAAGCCCTAAACTAGGCCTTAAACTAAACCCTAAACCTTGGTTAAGCTAAGCCCGGAGCCCCAAAGCTCTAACCCCCCAAGGAGTTCCCAGCCCAGAGATTCGAAGACGTGGGCTTTGCCGGCTTTGCCCCGAGGCAGAAGCCTGCAAGAAGCCCTTCGAGACGACGAGGAAGGCAAGATTTGGATTTCGGAGTTTTAGGTTGTTAGGGTTATAGGGTTTTGGGTTTAGGATTTAGTGTTTGTGTTTTTGGGGATTAGGGTTATTAGGGTTTAAGGTTTAGGGTTATTGGGGTTTGGGGTTTAGGGTTTTAGGATTTTAGAAGTTTAGAGTTTTAGGGTTTAGGGCTATTAGGGTTTAGGGTTTTGAGGTTTTGAGGTTGCTAGAGTTTAGGGTTTTAGGGTTTTGGGTCTTAGGAGTTTAGGGTTTCAGGGTTTAGGGTTTAGGGTTTTTAGGGTTTTGGGGATGTAGGGTTTTAGGGTTTAGGTTTTTAGGATTTGGGGGTTTTAGGGTTTGGGTTTTTTCGGGATTGGTTTGGGGTTTACGGGCTCCTACGGTTGAGGGTTTAGGGTCTGCGGATACAGACTGAGACTGTTGAAAAGGTTACCCTAAACCCTAAACCCTAGGGTTTAGGGTTTAGGGTTCAGGGTTTAGGGTTTAGGGTTTAGGGTTTAGGTTCCGATAGAACCCTGTGATATAGGGGGCTGAACAATTAGAATGGGGGTTTGGGGTTCGGGGGCTCCTTACTATAATTATAGGAAAAATACCCCAAGCCCTATTCTAATGATTAAGGCACCTAT